GTCGTCCATGAAAGGACTCCTAATCGGAAAACCTTATCAACGGATATTTTGATTTGACGAATTTTTGGATGCTATAGCCCTTCCCCCCCCCCCCCCGAAATTAATTAAGGTTTGTTTTGTTAGTTTAGGGTAGTTGATCAGTATTATTTTATGGCCTTCGTAATTATTGTTCTAGATTTCTCATCATTTTTCGTCTGGTTTGTTAGTTCATAGTAGTTTATGAGCATTGTTTTATGGCCGCAATTATAGCTTCTTAATACTGTTCTGTTCATCTAGCAATGGAGTATTACATATATAGGAAGTCTCTACCGTGTACATATGTATCTAACATTTATTGGAGAGATTGTATATATATCCATCATCTATAATTTACACATGTAAAGTAATTATGCAGTACGAAGTGCCACATGGAATGGACATATTCATTAGAGTTTTTTTTTTTTTTTTTTTTTTACAAGAAAGAGAAGAATTCGACATTATAATTTAATTCAATTTTGTGTATGTACATATGTATACAGAATTATTAATGTGCACATGTGTTTATATGAAACTTGAAAGGCACTGATTGCATTATGTATGGGCATGTAAAACAAAGAATGGTGGAGTATTACGTGCATGTAGAACAAAGTATGGTGGAGTATTGACAATGTGTTGCTTGACAAAATCAAATTATTATATACATAAATTGAGTGTAAGCATACTTTTTTTTTTAAAAAAAAAAAAAAAAAAAAAATCACTAATTCACTTTCTGGAACCTTTAGAAAAGAAAATGCTATTAATATGTTTAGTCCTCCAACTCGTCTAATTATTTTTTTATCCTTCTACAAAATAAGACACAAATTTCAATTGTTGTAAATGTTATGTTTATTATTATATACCTCTAATATGGGTGTTGGGGCAAATATGTCTATCTCCCTACTTGTCATGCTATTTAAATATAAATTTATACGAAATACATAGAAAAAATTATTTCTACTCGTTTTTTATTTTATTTTATTTTATTTATCTATTTTTTAATTTTAAAAAATTTTGTAAAATATTTAAATGACAAAATTAAAATTTAACGAGAAAATATTAAGTTTTAACTAAAACAAAATATAATAGATATACAATGGTAAACATTTATTAATTAAAATTTGATTGATTTAAAAAAAAAAATAGATTAGATTCAATTAATTATATACAAGCAGAGTGGGACCCAATACTATTTTTATTCACTGTTACGCCGACGTTAACGAGCAACAGAATAATAAATAAGAGACCAAAATGATTTGATTGACAATAAATAAAGAATTAAATCTGAATATAGTAATTTAATTTAATATTTGGGAGGAAAAATTAAAAAAATAGAAATATGCAATTCAGTTAAAATCCTGACTTCTCTCGTCAACATTAACGAAAAGCAAATCAAATAAACAATATAATAATTGAATCATATACTTAAAATCCATTTTAGAAAAATTATATTGACGATTGATTGACTTCCCATATCCAGACTCCACCTGGTTCAACGTGGATCACTCACTTTATGTTGTTAAAATTAAATATTATATATAAATTTCCATGTGACAATGTTTGTGTCATTTTGTTACCTAAAAAATTTCTTGGGTGGCAAACATGGAGCCATGTGGGTATTGCACGTGGAAGCAGTATATTGAATCCAAGATCGGTTGAGCCCAGAATAATTTAATTGACTAGTTTTGATTTGATTAAAAAAAGAGAGAATGTAATTGATTGTTAATTCTGGTTTTTAGCGAATAATGAGAGGCAAAGGGTTCGTATGGAGGGGGACACACCACCATTATAATTGACTCCAAGCAGCAGCAGTTAAAGGTTTTATCATTCCTTCAGTTTCATTTGCTAGAATTATTGTTTCTTATTCGTATTATGAATCAAAATAATATAAAATAATAAATTAGTCGCCGTAATAATTGCAGATGTGGTGGCCGGAGAAGTTGATGAATGGGGACCAGAGAGCTCAATAATGCAGATGTTGGATAATAAAATACGACTTCCTGGATTCCGATGTTTTTGCTCTTTTATTCTCTTTTTTGGTCTAATTGGAAGCAATTAATAATGGCAGAGCGAAGGCAAAATTTCCTTTTCAAATCCGATTCAGCAATTAGTCATCAGACCCTACTGTATTTCCAAAACCCACATCATCCAAACTTCTGGAACTATGCAATCAACCACACACAAATTTTAAAAATTCAATAGATTTTTGGCACCACTGTGACTTTTAAAAATGTTTATTAAAAGTATTTTTAGTACAAAATTATTTAATATTTTATATAAATAATTATAATTTTTTACTCTAAACTCTTAAAAAATAAATTTTAACTTTGACAGCTGTCTAATACCTTACAATTTATTTACTTTCAAAAATATAAAAGTCAGAAGCCAAACATCCCCCCCTCCTCCCAACTGCAACAACTAATCTCATATATTTAAATTTTTATTTTATGATTATTAATAAATACAAATTACTTTTTTTTAATACCCAATAAGAATTTTCTCTCTTTGAAAAAAAAAAAAAAAAAATACGGACCACCTTGTTACAACAACTTCACTTCAGCCACCCCCCTCCTTGTAATTTTAGGTAAAGTCTTCGGGGATGGCTGGCTTCTATAGTGGGATGAGCAATGTGTACAAAGCTCAGAGAAGAAATTCATTATTGTATGGCTAACTAACAATTGTTAGTTATTACTTCATGATTTGACATATACATAATTAAAATTTTATTCTTGATTTTATGAGAATTTTTACCAGAGATTTTTATTCGATTCTCTTTTATGAAAGTTTTATTTTCTCGTAAAATATCCTAATTTTTGGCATAATTATTCTTCTGATGATCAATTCAACATATAATAAAAAAAAATATATCTCGATTATATTTCATCTCTTTCACAAATTTAGTAATAAACATAAAAATTCTATTGTTTCGATTGAGAGAAGAACTTATAATTAGTTTTTTAGGAATTTTACAAATGAACAATTTCAAATGAATTTTTTAATTTATTGTTATACTATGTTCAACTCTTTATATTTATCGAATTGTCGGCAGCAAGGACGTTCAATATTTCATCTCGGAGTACATCTTTTTAGTTAGGGATAATAATAGGAATCATTATTTTATATATTTTAACATTATAATATTTATTTGATATGAATAATTGAAAAGAAGTCTATGAAGAGAAAGCAAATTATGGGAGTACGTGAGTTGAACTGTTGATTGAATTGGACAAAAATATGTTTTTATCTACTATATTGGAATTCACAATTATGCAGTTCTGCTTTTTCAGTCAGAGAAATGCAAAGTTAGAATCGAGTTAGAAATGTCTAATGATTCTACATTTAAGGGTTCTCGTTATAGATAATTTATAAGGAAAAAATCGTTTCTACTTATACTTTTATTGAATAATAAAATACTCTAAATATTTTCTTAATTATATACTGAAGTTTTAATAAAAAATACTTGTATGCATCAAATGTAGCAGCCCCGGAAATTTAAAATGGAATTTATATTCAAAAATATCAAATGCGGAAGCGAGATCAAAATTTCAGTTAACATCCCTTACACGAAAACAAAAAACGTGCTCAAAATATAAAAGATTAAACTAACAAGAAAAAAAAAAACTCGAAAGTAAAGCTATGAGTATGACTATGGAGTCTCTAGGCATCCCCTTCGTCGTCCTCCTGCGAAACGGGCTCGGGAACCATGTCTTCCTGATCTGAAATAATTAAATAAGGAATGAGCTACACTAGCCCAGTAAGGACATCACGATATCTCACCGTCACGGAGGTAAAGGTGGGTAGAAAACACAAAAGACCAATGGAGCATGATTTA